CCTAGTGGTCACTCAAATTACCAATGGAAAAAAATTTTGTCATTTGAAGAAACTTATCGAGAGCAAATTCAGAACCCAAACATTTTTATTCTAAGCAGTAGGCATGACTGCTAACTGCAAAAATTATGAATAATGCCTTCTATACATATTAGAGGCATTGAATTTCCTTATATATTCTGATGTATATATTTCTTTTTTTCAACCTTTGCCTCCTGGGTTCAAGCGATTCTCCTGCCTCAGCCTCCTGAGTAGCTGGGATTACAGGCACTTACCACCATACCTGGCTATTTTTTTGTATTTTCAGTCAAGACGGGGTTTCACTGTAGTGGCCAGGCTGGTCTCAAACTCCTGACATCAGGTAATCCACCCGCCTCGTCTTCCCAAAGTGCTGGGATTACAAGCATGAGCCAGTGTGCCCAGCCTGATGTAAATATTTCTAATCAACGATTCACAAATAGCTTTATGTATTTATTTATTTTTTAAAGAGACAGAGTCTCGCTGTGTTGTCTAGGTTGGTCTCGAACTCCTGGGATCAAGCAATCCTTCCTTCTGAACCTACCAAGTAGCTGGGAGTATAGGTGTGCACCACTGCACTTGCCCAAAAATAACATTTAAAAATAGTACATTTAGACTGGGCACAGTGGCTCATGCCTATAATACCAGTACTTTTGAAGGCCAAAGTGGGAGGATTGCTTGAGCCCAGGAGTTTGAGACCAGCCTGGGCAACACAGTGAGACCCTGTGTCTACAAAGATAAACATTTAAAAATTAGCTGGTTGTGGTGGTGCCCACCTGTAGTCCCAGCTACTCGAGAGGATGAGGTGGGAGAATCACTTGAGCCTGGGACGTTGAGGCTACAGTGAATCATAACTGCACCTCACTGCAGTCCAGCCTAGGCAGCAGAGTAAGACCTTAACTCAAAAAATTTAAAAAATAAAAACAGTAAATTTAATGTAGACTTCAGCACTGAAGAATTTCTTATTATGGTTCTATTTCTAATCAGATAATTTCTAAGATAATTTCTCAAGCAATGATACTTGCAATGTTAGAAACCATATTGGTTGGGCACGGGGGGGGGGGGCTCACGCCTGTAATTTCAGCATTTTGGGAGGCCAAGGCAGGCAGACCACCTGAAATTGGGAGTTCAAGACCAACTTGACCAACATGGAGAAATCTGGTCTCTACTAAAAATACAAAATTAGCCAGGCATGGTGGCACATGCCTGTAATCCCAGCTACTCGGGAGACTGAGACAGGAGAATTGCTTGAACCCGGGAGGTGAGGTCGTGGTGAGCCAAGATCATGCCACAATCTTGTTTGGGCAACAAGAGCAAAACTGTGCCTCAGAAAAAAAAAGAAACCATCTTGGACATCAACTTCAACCACAGCCCCACCAACGAATTCATCATTCAAGTTCTGCCAAGATTACATCCTGAATTTCTCAACACTGTCCCCTCATCTCCATCCCTGCTGCCACTACTTAGATTCAGACTCAATTTATGCCTGGATTATGTCTTATAACTCAAATTCAAATCTCACCATATTGTTTCCCCTATATAAATCCCTCTAAGGACTGTCATTTGCTTGTAGGATACCAAGCTTTTTAGCTTTATTATGGCATACAAGGTCTTTCATCATCCCTTCCTCTTTTCTTATAGTCAGCTTTATATTCTAGAAAAATAGGGGCCAGCAACCTTTTAGGGCTACAGGTAAATATTTTAGGTTTTGCTTGTCATATGGTCTCTGTTGAACTACTCAAATCTGCCACTGTAGTGGGAAAGCAACTGTATGGAAATATGCAAATGAACCAAATGTGGCTGTGTTCCAATAAAACTATAAAAACAGGCAGAGGGTCAGATTCAGTTTGCAAGCCATTTGGCAACCTCTGTACAGACTACTGAACAACTTAAAATTTCTTCTTTTTTTTTTCCTCCAAATCTCTGGTTTAATAAGGACTTGTTTATTTTGAGAAAAAAGGTCCCAAACATCAGACTGTTCACAAAAAACCCCCACAGTATCAACTTTAGAAAACAAATCTTGAGACTGCAGCACCAATTATTTTTCTACAGATGCATTTGACATGCCAACGCTCATTCACAAAAATACATGGTTACATTTGTGTTGAACTGCCCCATACAGCACACTAATGTTGGGGTGTAACACACATATTTCTAACTCAAAGCTGCTTTCAGGAGCTACTCAACTAAATAAGATTGCCTTTGCAGTTAGGGAAGCAACTACTGAACTTATGTATGAATGAAAAGAACTATACTCCCTACATAACAAGATATTATTTTAGAGACAGTTGCTAAAAACCATACATCCTTTTTATTGTTAAGTCATAAGAGGTATCAAAATTAAAACCAAAAATTGCAGGGTAAGACTTAACTACTAGGAGTGTCCAAGGAAGTGAAAACGGGACTAGGCACAGGGAAATATGAATTAATGTAGATGGGAAGGACAAGGATGGGGAGAACAGTGAGCATGTGCTGAAGATACTAGGGGAGAAGATCTGGTGAAAAATTTATCTTAGACACAGGATAAGGGGTAAGATTTCTAAACCCCCACTATGTGCATTTAAGAGTCATCCTCGGCCAGGCACCGTGGCTCACGAGGTCAAGAGATTGAGACCATCCTGGTCAACATGGTGAAACCCCGTCTCTACTAAAAATCAAAAAATTAGCTGGGCATGGTGGCGCGTGCCTGTAATCCCAGCTACTCAGGAGGCTGAGGCAGGAGAATTGCCTGAACCCAGGAGGCAGAGGTTGCGGTGAGCCGAGATCGCGCCATTGCACTCCAGCCTGGGTAACGAGCGAAACTCCATCTCAAAAAAAAAGAGTCATCCTCGCCATTGGCACTATCTCTGTCATCCTCTCCTTCCTCAGCCTCTTTTTCATCATCCTTGATCAACTCCAGCTGGTCATCCCCCCATCTTCATTATCATCATCATCATCATCATCATCATCCAGTAGGTCCCCCTCCTCAGAGTCATCTGCACCCCCCTCAGACTCCATCTTCCCATTAGTCTCATCTTTCTTCACAGAGCTGTGGCTCGGCTCCTCTTCTGACTTACCATTCTTCATCTCTACTGCTTGTTTGCTCTGCTCCTTTTCCATTTTTTCCAGGTTTTCCAGGAGAGAATCCACTTTTTGTTTTATCTGGGTCAACTCCTTCTTAATGGCCTGAAGGTCATCTCCTTTCAACTTTACAGACTTGGAAGATCCCTGCTGTCCACTCTTGGAATTGAAGCCACTTTTGCCCCCTTGTGAGGTGTTTCCTGATACACGCTGACGTTTCGAGGGCACTACGTCCTGAGCAATAGGAGGAGGAGGAGGTACACATGCTGGGTAATTGTACATCCTATCATAATAGTCCCATTGAAAGTCATAGTCCAAGTCAAAAGAGGAGCTGAGTAGAGGGGATGGAGAAGGGTGTTCTGTTACTGACCCATACATCTCCACTGCAGATTGTTTCACACCTGCTTTTCCTCGGTTCACTTTTGGCTCTGCAGCCAGGTTAATACCTAAATCCTGGCCAGCAATCATTCTGCCATCCTCTCCTGCTGCAGCAGCCCGGGCATTTCACTCATTAACATATTGAACGAAGGCAAAGCCCTTATGAACAGAGCAGCCCACAATTTTGCCATTCTTGGAAAAGACTGCCTCCACATCAGATTTCTTGATCACAAGAGTGTTGAGATTCCCAATGAACACACGGGAGTTCATGGAGTGAGGATCTGTCTTGTTGGTAACATTGCTGGCCACTGTGTTTGATAAGGTTTCTCACAAAGCTGAAAATGGAGCTGAAGATCAAAAAAACTCACTAAAGCAAAGTTCCACTAACATATATTTCAAGTGTTTTGTAACCAGGAGGGGTAGGAAGAAGAGATTCGATTCTGAGTCTTCTATTCCCAGGTTCTATGTGGAGAAGCCGACTGCTGTTTGAGGTCAGCAATGCAGCTATAACCACTCAGTCTTCGTCTCTTCACCGAAATTTCTTACATATATCACACACCATGCTTTGTGTGCCGGTACAGTCTTATGTTTTACAACTATCTCAGTTTTAACTTCTAATATAGTAAATAACAATAGATATACCTACATAAATGCTATTTAGATCTTCAATAATTTTTAAGAATGTAAAATGGTTCTAAGGTCAAGAAGTTTGATAATAGATTTCAACCTTAACATTGTATAAAAAAAGAAAACTAAGAGAGGATAGCCTACCTTAGTCATAGGTACATGGTTAGCTAGTGGCAGATATAAAGTAGTATGTACTTTATATATTAAATAATATAGTTGTATACATTATTAAATATATTACTATATTGTATTATAGTTTAAGCTCCTCTTTCCTAGGCTTAATTATTCTTTTCTTCTTGCATAAACTTAGACTCAAATGTTTAGAACTAGGCTGGGCACAGTGGCTTGTGCCCCTAATCCCAGCACTTTGGTAGGCTAAGGCGGGAAGACTGCTTGAGCCCAGGAGTTTGAGACCATCCTGGGCAACAAAGCAAGAACCTACCTCTTAAAAAAAAAATTAGCTGGACATAGTGGTGCACACCTATATTCCCAGGTACTTTGGAGGATGAGTTAGGAGAATTGCTTGAGCCCAGGAGTTTGGGCTGCAGTGAGCTAGGATCATGCCACTGCACTTCAGCCAGAGTGACAGAGAGACCTTGTCTCAAAAAAAAAAAATTAGAACTAGATGATTCTTAATCATCTGATCTAACCTTCATCTCATTAAAAGAGTTGAGATAACTGGTATTACCTAGGTGAGTTCTGCCTTTTCTATTTACAAGGCTGCATGTGTGGGCCAGTTGTGCTTCAGTTGGTATGTTCAGGGAATGTGAACTTACTTTCATAAAAAATCTAAGCAGAATTTATTAGGTAGATAAATTCCCTGAAGAATAAATACATATTGAATCGTCAGCATCACTGCTCCTCGCCACTCATGTGTAGACAATCTAGTTATCAGGGTAGACATTTCATGGAAAACTCACCCTCATCATCACTACTACTAGTATGGATCTCAGGAGATGAGTCAGATTGGGATGATGAAAATTCTTCTTTCCATTTTTTACGTTTCTTTGGTGGTGGCTCAGCCTTTACTTTTAGCTGTTTAACTTTTGGTTTCACGGAAGGGGCTTTTGTAGTTGTAGTTTTTGATGTTGGAGGATCAGAAGTTTTACTGCCACTACTTGGCTTAGCTTGAACAGTTCTGCAATGTTATAAACAAACTTCATTAACACACTGAAATCTTGTTAAACTAAGATGAAATACAAAAATAAAAGAGAATCACAGAAAAACTTTATCTAATTATACTCACCAGTACCTCCAAAATATACAGCTCAAGTCCTATACATCTCAATGGTGATTCCCATAAAATTTTCTTAACATACATTGTTTTTGTCAATAGCATTCAATATTCAGTTATTAAGGTTCCTTATTTCTACTTTTCCATTCCCCTCCTTGATTTAAGGATTTATTTCCCAGATACTATGAGACTGTACAACAGCTGACCAATGGGCTTAGGAAGGTGATGAATGATATACTATAACTACCACATCTAGCTCTGACCCTAAGAAACTTCACAGGCTCTCATGGTGTCAGGTTTTGATGTAGAAACCCAAATGTGGCCAGGCGCGATGGTTCAAGCCTGTAATCCTACCACTTTGGGAGGCCAAGGCGGGTGGATCAGCTGCTCAGGAGTTTGAGACCAGCCTGGCCAACATAGTGAAAACCCCACCTCTACTAAAAAATACAAAAATTAGCCAAGTGTGGTGGCATGCACCTATAGTCCCAGCTACTCAGGAGGCTAAGGCAGGAGAATTGCTTGAATCTGGGAGGTGGAAGCTGCAGCAAGCCACTGCACTCCAGCCTGGGTAACAGAGTGAAACTGACTCAAAAAAAAAAAAAAAATCCCAAATGCATCTGTCCTAGAGGCCCTCAAGATTTACTCTATGCCAGCTGAGTATGGTGGCTAAAGCCTGTAATCCCAGCACTTTGGGAGGCCGAGGCGGGCAAATCACTTGAGCCCAAGAGTTTAAGACCAACCTGGGAAACATGGTAAAATCCCATCCCTATAAAAATTAGCTGGGCATGGTGGTGCACACCTGTGGTCCCAGCTACCTGGGAGGTGGAGGCAGGAGGATCACCTAAGCCTGGGAGGTTGAGGCGACAGTGCTGTGATCACACCACTATACTGCAGCCTTAGTGACAGGGTGAGACCCTGTCTCAAATAAAAAAGATTTGCTCTCTGCCAGGTCTGAAGATTTGAGTGGATAAAACTCCATCATAAAAATAAGGTGAGCTGCTTCCAGTAGGTGGGAATGTTATGGAACTGCACCTGCATGACACTAGATTAAGACTATCTAGGATCATACCTGCTTTCTCATACAGACCACAGGGTTAAGTCTGTTACCTTTCAGATTCATGCTCCAGACAACCCAGAGTCACATTAACATACAATAATAATTCTACTGTGTACACTTGTCCAGTAATATAGAGTTCTCATAGTATTTTTTTCTCAAAAATTATTTTAAATTTAATTCACTTCATTATTATTTTAATTTTATAGATGAAAAAGGGGGCTTCAGAAATGTTGTCTTCTCTAGGTCACAAAAAACTGGGCTCAAACTTTTTGCCTCTACAATTTTGTTTTCACTGTACTAGGGTGACACCAAAAGGACTCAAGGAAAACAAAACTCATGGTATAGGTGTAACCATGAGCTTACAGTGCCCATCTCACACTTTCAGAAGAATCACTTATTTCATCAGACACTGAATTTTTTGACTTGTGTATAATAAAAAAGAAATCTCTTTAATCAATATACTCCTTTATACATTGGTATCATCAAGAACACACCAACATATATGCACAAAGATATCACCTAAGAAAACAAATACCTGATAGCTTGTGAAGGTTTGTTTCTTGGCTTTTTAGAACACACTCTGACATATTCCTTCTTGTTTGCATTTTCGATGAACTTCACATATATTCTTTTGTATTTACTCTTTGCATCTCCAAAATATCCAAGATACTGAGGAGAGAAACACTTTGAGTTACATGATTGTACAATCTACATATAAATGCTACTTTGTTGGTTTGATTGACTATTGCATAGACAACCTTCAAGTGTTCTAAAACGCAGCTCTGGCCAGGCTAATTTTACCCTCTAAAAAACTGATCCCAGGCTCATTGATTTCATATGCACAAGCCCATAGTACAAGCAATCTCATTTGGCAGATTCTTTTTTATTTTTATTTTTTTCCGATCTGAAAATGTCTTTATTTTTTAGAAAATGGATTCCAGGAAGGTTAAAAAGCAACACCAGAGGGTATGGGTGCAGAACTGGATGTAATCATTCAAAGCATTCAAGTAAGAATATGGCAATATAAATATTCAAAAAGTATCTCTTAGGTGATCAAAACAAAACATATAAGTCATTCCTAACTAATTTGAGCTTTATAGCATTTTCCTAGACAGGAAGGGGGAAACAGTTAACATTTAAAAGTCCCGAAAGCTTTTTCCTTGGTTAATTACATTAGATGGTTTGCCTTTGATCAAATTCCTTCTTTTTTTTAAACATGGATAAAAGTATTACATGGGTCCACTGTTAAAACAGAATATGTTGCAAATTAATTCTGGTATAATGTTTTCCAACAAAGCTTAGAAAGTAAAGGTGTTGAGGTGGCTTTGGACTAAGTTTAATAGTCATCTCCTCTGCTGACAACTTCTTTGCATGTTGGACGCAACAGTATGGTATGTTCAAATTGAGCTGTTTACGATCCTTTAATGTCACATAATGGTGGATAGATCTACAATGCCCAAGTCACACAGATTCTTCAGAGCCATCAAGTATTTACTTTCTCCCAAGTGATCCAGCCATCTGTGGCAGAAGGCAAGGGTGCCATCATTTGGCAGATTCTTACTTCCAGCTACATAAGCATGACAGAGTAACTTCCATCAGTCTTCTGGTAAATCAGGATATTTGACTAGTAGAATAATCAATGTAAGGGAGTCTCTGAGTCTGTCTGAACCCTCCATAGGCTAACATTAACCCCTTTCCTTTATTAAAAAAAAAAGTTAATCAATGGTACAAGGTCATTTAATTTTAAATAGCTGATATTTAACAAATGACTTTATTTTTATATCAGACTATCAAAGAGCATCAATATTCCAGTTCAAATTATATGCTATTTTTCTTTTCTGTTCTTTTTTATATGCTATTTTATATTAAAAATAGTGAATATAAAATACCTCTAAATTTAAATCATTCTGTTTCTTCCAGGACCACTGTCAAAATAAGGCGAATGTAAACATGCATTTTACTCACACTATTTGTAGCAGCAAATTCTCTTTGACCATCGCGAATTTCAGGAACAAATTTCTGTAATAAAGCTTTTTGTACTTTCCAAATAGCTGGAGGTTCTTTTCCTGTTTTTAAAGCCTCCTGTATTAACCAGAATTAATGATATTTATAAAACACAGCAACATATTTTAGATCTTAGAATTTTAGAGATAAAAGGAATCTGAAAGACCTACCCTAGCTCAACCTTTTGTCTAACCTGTACCTGATATTCTGCAGTAATTCTTATAAGCTGGTTAGGTTATTCAGTCTCTGCTTAAATTATTTCAGAAATAGGGAGTTCACTAACACACAGAGTAACCCATTACCCATTTGTCCAGCTAAAACTATTGGAAAGTTTTCTGCTAATGACACTGTCCTATGTTACGTACGCAATTTTATAACCATATATATATATACACACTCACATATACATATTTTAAAAGACTATAAACAAATGTTAAAAAATTAAAAGTAGTTAATTGTGAATGGCAGGAATACAGATACTTGAATTTTATATTCTTCACTGCACTTTTTAATGCCATTCCAATGTTTTTTAAAAAGACAGAAGTGGCTGGATGCAGTGGCTCATCCCTGTAATCCCAGCACTTTGGGAGGCAAAGACGGGAGGACTGCTTGAGGCCAAGAGTTTGAGACCAGCCTGGCCAATACAGCAAGACCCCATCTCTATTTTTTAAAATACATAAAAAGGCAAATGCAAAACAAGGAAACAGAAACCCCAAAATATGTTATTTTAAACACAGCTAAAACTTTCTTACATAAAATTATTACATTCTATTCATGGTTCTTCTATTACTTGATATTATTAAATTAAATCAAATTCTACTTTTATGTAATAGTCCTCTGTTATTTTTGTTTAAACTTTTAAATTATATAAATAATGTTTTTCTCCCAACTACTAATAATGAGTTGGGAACCTTTAAAAAAAAATCAACATTTTAAAACTACTATAATTACTAGTACTGAAATGCAACTGACTACATTTGTACAGAAATACATAAAACTATGTTAAAATTAAAATTATCTCCAATGATTTCCTTTTTAAAAATATCTCAAATCTACTCTCTTAATAGTTTGATGTTATCAAACATTTATAACTCAGGATAAAACTATCTATAATTCAAAGTAGATGCATGCTATTGAAGTCATAATGAAGGCTATCACAGGCACACCAACTAAACTATGACCTTTACACTGGTGAACACTGACATCACCTTAAAAGTCTCTATGTCTTCTATCTTTACCACAAATTCATCACGCTCTCTGTATTGGCCTTCTCCTCCACTTTCTTCGTTCTCCTCATCTGTAAAACCTTCTATGGCGACAGTGTCCTGTCCTTTTGCAAACTGGTCTGAAGGAAGACCATCAAGTTCAGTGGGCTTTGAGGATTCTGAAGAGCTTATATTTTCCAGAATATTTACTGCATATGAAGTAGAGTGGAAGGGTTCTTGCTTAACTGCACCCACAGTGGTGGAGGAAGTAGTAGCAGTACCAGTAGTATTGGCAGTTGGGCCAGTAGTTGCCACCTGTAGGGCTTCTGAAACGAATCCAAGCAAATGCAAATCAGTATTACAAATATTTAAACACTTACTTGTTTTGTGTAAAATTCAAACAGTTTAAAAGGAAGGGCATGATTATTTTGTAACCAACTTGGTTGAAACAAAACCACAGGAAGAAATTAGACAACAGATGTTAATTTCCAAGAATCAAAGATGTGAGAATTGAGTCTGGATGACAAGTGGAGTGCAAACCTGCAACTATCTCCTACCCTCCTGCCGCCAATTCCATATAAGTAGAGCAAAACTATTTTTAGAAGAAGAGGCTGGGTGCAATGGCTTATGCCTGTAGTCCCAGCCTTATTTAAAAAAAAAAAAAATTAGGTGAGCATAATCAGGAGGATGAGACACAAAAATTGCTTGAGGCCAAGAGTTCAAGGGTTACAGTGAGCTATGATGGTGTCACTGCACTCCAGACTGGGCGACAAAGCAAGACCCAACCTAAAAAAATAAGTAGATGATAAGGAAGGGTCAGCCAACCAAAACTGACTCTTCAAAGAAGATGAAAAACCAATTACATGTGGGAAAACAAAACCACCCCCAAAACATTCTGAAACAGCACTAGAAGCTATCAAAACTAAAATGATTATAAAGTAATGCTATGAAAAACTGTATGCCAACAAATTAAATAACGTAGATGAAATGGACAAACTCCTAGAAAGACACAAACTACTAAAAAAGACTCTGGAAAAAATAGAAAATTTGATTACCCCAATGCGAACTAAAGAGAATAAAAGTAATTTTAAAACATCCCACAAAGAAAAGCACAGGCCCATATGGCTTCACTGGAGAATTCTATCAACAATGAAAGGAGAATGTCAATCTTTTATTTACTCCAGACAATAGGAGCAAACATTTTCCAACTCATTCAGTGAGGCCAGTATCATTCCAATACCAAAACCAGACAAAAACAGCATGAGAAAACTACAGACCAATATCCCTTAGTATATTAATGCAAAAACTCATAATGAAATACTGGCAAATCCAACTTACAAAAAGAATCATACAATATGACCACGTGGGTTTTATATTAGGAATGCCAAATTAGTTTAACACCTGAAAATCAATGTAATATGCTATGTTAATAGAAAACAGCGTAAGAGCACAGGATCATCCCAACAGGTGCAGAAAAAACATCTGACAAAATTTAACACCCTTTCACGATAAAAACATTCAACAACCTGGAACTTCCTCAACTTTATAGAGCACATTTAGAAAAAATCAGTAACTAACATTATACTTAGTAGTGAAAACTGTATGCTTTCCCCCTAAGAAGGATGTCTTAAGAAGCAAAGCTATATTTGCAGATGACATGATCTTTTATATAGACAATCCCAAGGGCTGGGTGCGGTGGCTCACGCCTGTAATCCCAGTACTTTGGGAGGCCGAGGCAGGTGGTCATGAGATCAGGAGACAGAGACCATCCTGCTAACACGGTGAAACCCCATCTCTACTAAAAATACAAAAATTAGTGGGCATGGTGACACGCACTTGTAATCCCAGCTACTTGGAGGCTGAGGAGGGAGAGTCGCTTAAACCCAGGAGGCGGAGGTTGAAGTGAGCCAAGATCACCCTACTACACTGCAGCCTGGGCAGCAGAGCAAGACTCCGTCTCAAAAAAAAAGAAAAAGAAAATCCGAAAGAATATAATAAAAAAACTATTAGAACTAATAAATGAGTTCAGCAATACTATAGGGTACAAGATCAATATATAAAAATCAAATGTATTTCTATACACTTGCAGTAAACAATCCAAAAATAAAATTAATAACACAATTCCAGGCCGGGCGCAGTGGCTCATGCCTGTAATCCCAGCACTTTGGGTGGCTGAGGCAGGTAGATCACGAGGTCAGGAGTTTCAGACCAGCCTGGCCAATATGGTGAAACCCTGTCTCTACTAAAAATACAAAAATTAGCCTGGCATGGTGGTGCATGCCTGTAGTCCCAACTACTTGGGAGGCTGAGGCAGAAAAATAACTTGAACCCAGGAGGCGAAGGATGCAGTGAGCCGAGATTGAGTCACTGCACTCCAGCCTGGGTGACAGAGTGAGAACACAGTGCCATTTAAAATGGCATCAAAAGTAATATTTAGGAAGAAATTTAACAGAAGAACTGTAAAACACTGTAAAAACTATAAAAACACTGTTCAAAGAAATTACAGATGAATGTAACTGGAAAAACATCCTATGTTCACGGATGAGAAGATGGCAACACTGTTAACATGGCAATGTTCCCCAAAGTGATCTATCGAATCAACCCAATTCCTATAAAAATCCGAGCTTCATTTTTTACAAATTGTTCCTAAAATTCATATGGAAAAGAAAGAGACCCAGAATAGTCAAAACAATCTTGAAAAAAAAACAAAGTTGGAAGACTGGCATGTCTCAATTTCAAAACTTAAGCTATAGAATTAGACTGATACTGACATGGACATACATAGATAGAGATCAATGGAATAGAATGTAAGTTCAGAAATAAACACCTATACTTATAAGCAAATGATTTTCAAAAAAGGTGCCAGACCATTCAATAGAGAAAGAATAGTTAAAAATACAGACAATAACAAATGTTAGCAAAAATGTGGAATGAATGGAATCCTTATATATCACTGATGAAAATGTAAAATGGTACAGCCACATTGGAAAATAGTTTGGCCATTCCTCTATTAAGCATACAGATATATGATTGAAGAATTCCACTTCTGGATGTATATTCTAGAGATAACAAACATCCACACAAAACTTTGTACACAGATGTTTACAGATTTATTCATAATAGCCAAAAATTCTATTAATGGACAACTGAATATACAAAATGTGTTATATCCATATTATTAGGGAATAAAAAGGAATTAGATACTGATACATGCTACAACATGGATAAACCCTGAAAACATTATGCTAAATGAAAGAAGCCAGTTACAGAAGGTCACATATTACAGGATGAAACATCCCACACAGTCAATGAAACATCCCAAATAGTCAAATCCAAAGAAAGATTTGTGGTTGCCTATAGCTGGGTATGGGTCTGGGAATTAACTCCTTAATGGATACAGGGTTTGTTTTTGAATGATGGAAATGCTGCACAAGTCTATGAACCATTGAACTGTACACTTTAAATGGGTAGATCTTATGGTATATGAATTATAAAATAAAACTATTAAAAATATTTTGAATACCAGAGCTGACAGAGGAATTCTGGGTTGAGTAACAAATATAAGGAACATGTAGCATTCCAGTGGTAAGTCTGAATAATACTGATGAACTAAAATAATCACATATACAACAATAAGTAAATAAAAATGGGAAGGCCAGGCGCAATGGCTCATGCCTGTAATCCCAGCACTTTGGTAGGCCAAGGCAGGCAGATCACTTGAGGTCAGGAGTTCGAAACCAGGCTGGCCAACATGGTAAAACTCCTTATCTACTAAAATACAAAAATTAGCCAGGTATGGTGGCAGGCAACAGTTAGCTACTCGGGAGGCTGAGGCAGGAGAATCACTTGAACCTGGGAGGCGGAGGTGGTAGTGAGCCAAGATTGAGCAACTGCACTCCAGCCTGGGCAACAGAGCAAGACTCCCTCTCAAAAAAAAAAAAAAAAAAAAAAAAAAAAAAGGTTGGGGGAAGGTCACTGATCCCCTTACTTGTACTTATTTGCCTAGAGTAGTGGAGCTAAGAGAAAACCAAAGCAAAACCTGAGGCAAATCCAGACCTCCAACACAGAAAAAGTGGAAATGCAGGTTGGCAGGAGAAATCCATGAACTAAAGAGCTTGACAGCTAGAGCAAAGACCTCTGTATTGCTACCAGCCAGCCTACCTTTCTTGTACCAAGTTAAAGCTATCCTTGTACATTTATACACTTCCTAATCAAGGGAAAAGACCTGTCGAGGAAATACAAATGAATATTCTAATCATGGTAGGAGCCCATACTATATTACTTTATCCTAATGTAATACATTTCTATAATGCTATAGTTACACTATTATACTTTTCTGTCACAAAAATATGTATGTAACTGGAAACTGATTTGTAACTGAAGGCTCAAAATATTAAACATTTCTAACATTATATAATTGGACAGTTGATCCAAATTAATCTTTTCACATTTTGACAAGTATTAAATATAAAAATCATGCTTCTGTTGCATATGACACTTTAAAATTATTCATTTATGGATCCATAGATATTACTTATTGAGACGGATTTTACAACCAATTTTAATTGTCCTTAAGAACTGAGAAACCATGTTCACATAAATAATGGCTAAGGAATAAAAGTGACTTTGTGATAGCCATATCATTGACTTTTGCAAATACTTTGTAAGTTATATGGCAAAACAAATCACATAGCTATCTGTGAACAAAAACAGATGCTGCAGCAGACTCTGAAAAAAGGAAATACTAAAAGACATGCTTTAGTCAGATGCAAAATAATCCCAAGGAGAAGCTATGAAGTACAAGAATGAATGAAGAGTACTGGGAAATATGTAAGTAAATGTAAACAAATGACTATTTAAAAGACTATTAATGATGATAGAATTAAATAGGTAGTAACAATAACATTTATGTCAGGAGGGGATTAAGTGGAGCTCCAGTGTTCAAAACTTTGTATTATCCAGAAAGAGTAAGATATTGACAGATTTGGAGAAGCTGTAAGTGCATGTTGTAATTTCCATTGTAACCAAGAAAAGAACAGAACTATTTCACCAAAATAATCAGGGGATGTGCAGCAAGATAAAGGTATAAATAAAGCAAGATTGATCATGTAATGATTATTGAAATATATGATGCCCCTGAATTGGGTTTCATTATGCCAATCTTTGTACTTTTGTACATGTTTCAAAATTTCCATAAAAAAAACAATTAAAAAAATAATGAGCAACTTCCAAATTAGTAGAGAGAAAATTCATCAATACTTTATTTATATGCCCTTTACAGGAAGTTTTAAAACAAATCCAAGTATAGGGTTTTTTTTTTTTTTTA